TACCTTTGCGGTAGGTATCATCGGCGAGATCGTCAAGAAAACGACGTCCGGTGGGGGTGGCCTGGAGCAATTTAACCCCATCTAGATAGGCATCCGGGCAGGTGGCCAAGAACTCACCGACGAGCCTCAGAAGGAACTTCATGGCCATGGTGTGAATGGCGCCGGTATAAGCCTTGGACCTTTGGAATGCTATGGATCCAGACTCCTTGATTTTGGCAACATCGGCCTCATAAATAGGGACATGGTTGTCCACGCCCGTCTGGCGGAGCTCCACTTTGGCCTGTTCTACGGCCCACATCCGGCTGCGGAGATCCACGAGCTCGGCCTCCTGTTTCTTGAGGAGCTCCTTCTGAGAGGCATTTTCCTGGATGAGCTTATCATAGGCATCGGCTTTCTCTTGAAGAGTTCCAGCCCTGCCTTTTGCATTCCTCAGAAGGGCGTCACATTCGGCCCGCACCTTGGCCATCTCCCTGCCCTGATGCTCGAAGGCCATCCGAGCCCTGTGAAAGTAGAGCCCGGCCTTATCCAGGGTGCTCTGGCCGCATTCCAAAAGATCCTCAGGGGCTTCCTGAGCAGCGAAGTCCTGTGGGACCTTGAGGTTCAGCCCGCACCAGATGGAGGACGCTGTCTGGCCAAAGAGCATCATTGACTCTTTGCGGGGACCAACTCCGGAGAACTCGATCAGGCCAAGAGAAGATCCACTGGCTTCGGGGGGCGAGGTTGGACGGACGTCGTCAGGACCTTTAGCGGTAGGGGCATCATTATCCCGGAGACGGCGGACGTCGGAATTCCGCGGAGGAGAAGCACGGGGATTGATCCGGGAAGTGGGCTTCCGCTTGAGGGGACTTCCGGGCTCCCCATCAGAATCATCGGCCACGATGATGGCCTTGGAAGAGGTGCCCTCAACACGCGGCCTCTTCGAGGCGCCGGCCCCCGAAGTATCATCGGCCCGTGCCCTGGCCACCCGAGATTCGACCTTGGGGACGAGTGGCTTTTCGAGCTTGTCATGACCCTTGTGCTCACGGCCGGCGGCAGTCGAGGCAGTGTTGACTCGGCCCATGGTAGACGCGGATGGAAAAATTCCTGCACAAAGGGAACCAAGACGTTCAGAGCCATAACAGCGGAGAGATGTTAAAACAATACAAGTACAAACAGACGCACCTAACCCAGCCTGAGCTTTAAAAGGCTCGGCCACCAGCAACCGGAGGTTCTGGATGCCAAGTCCGGCTATGCGCTTGGCATATCCGAGCTCCTCGTCCGTCATGGGCGGCAGAATCGTCTTCACCGGGTAAGCATTCCACCGGTCAGAGAATGGCATCGGTGAGCCGATTCCGGCCAGGAAGAAGCGCTCTTCCCAACCGTCCGGATTCCCAGCATTGTTCGAGAACAGGGTCATGGACGGACGGGCGATCAGGGTCAAGTACCCTGTGCGTCCGAAGGGGGACAGTCGAAAGAAATGGTGCAGCAGGTCCACGGTGGGGATCACGCCGACGCTGTGGCATCTAATGATGAAGCCAGCGATTATCCGATAGGCGACAGGGACGAACTGCGCAGGCACTATCTCAAGGGCCTTGAAAAGTTCCAAGTGGAAGCTATGCAAGGGAAAGTTCAGCCCGGCTATCACCGAATCCAAGTGGACCACCACATAGCCGGGCAGATGGCGCATGGGGTTCCGCAGACGCCGATCGTCGTAGATCCTTGGAGGATAGAACCATTGGCTGATCAGTCGCTTATCAGCATTCGTCAGGCGTTGAACTTGACGCCGAACGCACGAGAAGCTGAGGCTATAACGGGGAGGCCGGGGCGGCATTCCCCGCTCATAATATTCCAAGTCATCGCCGGAAGAACAGCCATCATCGAAGCGATTTTCGAAAGACATGGCAATGAACAGTACCTTGGGAGTACGGGTTTCCAATACGGTTTGAGAGAAGTCTAGAGAGAGAAGGCAATTGAGCAGCGTAAGGAGAAGTATGAATGAATTACATGGGTTCTGGGTACTTATAGGCAGCACCGCGGAATCGCGCCAACCGAGGCAGGACACGTGGCGCCTGGATACCGGTACCTACCACGGTATTTAAAGCGTCTCGATTTCGTCGCCGCATAACCACAACGAAGATACCCAGTTGATGCCACGAACGTCCCCCCAGGGGGGCTTACCGGCTCAGAAGGGTCTGGAGACGCCCGGAGATCACGACCATCGGCTGTCCCTGATACCGGCGGCTAGTGGGGGACTTACGCATCAACGAGCTACGATCGTCTTACCATACTCGTCAACATGCCATTGGAACATGTAGACCGGACGAACGTCGCCACCCAAGGATGGTCCTGGGAAGTACGTTCATAACTCCGTACTTGACAAATTTGCATTGACCAATGAGGCAACCATCGACGAACGACGTCTCGCGACGTCCCCGTACGTCACTTGAATATTCAACTCATGCGACGACAGACGAACGTCATTACCAAACGCTGATTCTGGGAAGTACGTTCATATGTCCACACTTAAGAAGTATACGTTCACAAGCCACCGACGAACGTCATTTCGTTGTCAGGATGCCTTGTGGACGGTAAGCCGGCATCAGAAACGTGAGCTGTAACCTCAGCAGCAATTTATTGCCCACTCCTCTGCTCACCTCTCTGCTAAGCATACTGCTTATCTATACACTTATCCGAAGACATCTCAATGCTTTAGAAGTCTTCTTCACTCTTCGTTAAGATCTCTTTCTTAAAACAGAAGTCTCTAGATCTATCACCTTAGAAGTCCAACAGAAGACCTTGTGAGGGATTCTGTTCCAAGGTGAACAGAAGACCTCGGGAAGGGTTCTGTCAAGAAGACATTAGAACATCATTCCAAGGTATTCTGATTGAGACCTACTGTCCGAAGCATCTCTGCCACTAAGCACCTCTGTCTCTGAAAATAAGGAACACTCATTTTACCTCACTCAAACACTTCCCTTAGGTTCCTTTGAGATCATTAAACTTATCTGACCATCACTCAGACTTCTCCTTGTCCACTTACAAACAAAAGATTGTTATATACATAGAGGTCAAGACTTCCGCTGTGGATCCTTAATCTCTCAAAAGGTTACTGATCATCATATCTGGGAGGGAAACTTTTTAAAGTTGAAAAAGCTTTAAAAGTCTATTCACCCCCCCCTCTAGACTTTTACCTCTATCTGGGACCATCAGTGTGCATGTTTTAACATTGGTGCAAATGGTTCACCTACTCTTATATGTGGCATTTAAAGGAATAAACTGATTCAAACTCAAAGCTTTCTTCACCAATGTATGTGCAATCAACCCCAACCAATATCATCAATGAAAATGAAATGAGCCTTTAGGGTTAGCAACATAGCAAGATACTTTTGGCCAACAAAAAATATCAAACTTACATTAAAGAGATTCACAACATATCAATTGAACTCCAAATTTAGTACCTAGTCTAACATCAATAAGATATTAACAATAAGGATCATTAACAGTAGAGTATCATTTCTATGGTGCCTCTTTTTAAGTGCAAAATAGCCACAAAACAAGGAAAATAAATTTAAGGTAGGTAGGAGCAAAGATGTCTAAGAAGAAATGTCGATTACCTTGGGTTGGAGACTCAAAACTTGCACTTTTAGCTAAATGAGTGTTAAACAATAACAACTACGATAAAAACTAATGCGTTGAAACCTTTATTTGTTGTTGAAAAAAAGAAAGCAGAGCACAAAATTTTAGAAATAGTGTAACATTTAAACATGCTGCAACATATAGAGGAAATGTGAGAGATGAAAAACATGCTGAAATAATAGAGTAAAATTAGAAACAAAAGATTTTTTTTCCTGAAAAATTGATTTCCATATCTCGCGCTCCAAGGGGGATTGAAACAACTTAGGGTGACGATCGGTTTTCAGGTGTATATGGAATTATTAATTTACCTTCTTAAATGCAATCAACATTATTATCAAGACAATTAGACAAAGGAATATAACACCTTACCCTAGGGAGGCTGAAAGGGTCCATGCGGTGAAGGGAGGCGACAAACGTTGTTGGCAATCCTCCATGGACGAAATGGGTTCTCAATGGCTAACCTAACTAACATCGTCATATGAGTTCACTGTGTTGTATGTGTGGAACAGGAAGAGACACACGGTTAGAAGATTGACTGGGTGGAGTGGGTGAGGCATTACTAACGGAATAGTAAACAGTTTTTGTTAACGGCAATAGAGAGTTATGACAAGTTACAATTACTTAAGCACGTTGTACATGTCTACTTAGCTGTAATATACCAGCAACAAATTTTGTGTATCAAAATTAACCTTACCTTCAATCATGTTTATTATTTTGTAAAGAAATCCAACTAATACGATTGGAAGGGATTAGTACGTACGATGTAGTACATATATCCATACTTTAAGAGTCCGCATTTGTGCTTTGGAGATGTGCGTTAGTTTTGAAATTATGAAGATGATTAATGATAAAAAGTTGATCGTATTTTAAAAGCAAATATGACATATATATATTCCAAAATAGGACTCATATTTTTATTATCAAAAAAAGATTAATCAATGCCATGTTTTGGTAGTATCAGACTTTAAAAATGACAGTAATTACTCCGATTCTATTTAGGGAGTAGAAACATGTCAGTCCTATTTTGAAATTCTAAAACGTTTTGATCCCATGAATTTACCCATTTTAAAAACTTAAGTTAGAGTGTTTACTGAAAATCCTTTCCTAATGGCCATGTTTAATTCAGGACCCGAACCGAACCGGAGAAACCGAAAATCGAACCAATATTTTGGTTTCTAGAAAAAAAGAAACTGATACCCAATCAATCAATATATAGCTAGTCCCTCAGGTTTGGGGAACATATTTTTGAGTTCAATTATATGTTCATGATAATTGATACTAAGAAATTAATTAAATTTTCTACTTCATACTCCGCAAATTCTCTCTAAATATTATGCCGCAAGAAGCGCAACTAAAAAGCCACGTGCACAACGACGCAAGATGGAATACAGAGAACAAAGCAATGTACCTTCGATTAAAAATTATGTGTACAAAAAAATACTCCCTCTCCCTCTGTCCCTAAAAGAAGTTCCATTTCGCTTATCGAGGGTCAACTTAAATCATCTTAAACTCTTACTTTTTATATCAAAATTTTATAAAAATTGAATTATTTTTTGCAGGCTTTGTAGCGGGTTTAATGTAGTTTCTGAATATGTAAATTTTATTTACTAAAAATAATCCGAGTTTTCACAGGGATCATTTAACTTTATCGTCAGTCAACCTTCGTAATCCGCAATTGGAACAACATTTAGGGACGGAGGGAGTATTCATTAGTAACCTAAACTACATCTTAGAGAAGGGGATTAAGCACTGCCCCAACAAAGACAACAGCCCCTGATACATCTTCTCGAATGAAGAATGCAAAGGGATGGTCTGCCACAAAGTCTATTTTCTCTTCCTCAATGCGACGACTGCATCCACCAAGGCCCAGCCCAGTAAAAGCCACAGCTTCTGTTCCTCTCTCGTGAACATCAACAACACACTTGTGTGTAATTATTGGTATAATGGAAATCCCCTTAGGAAGGTTTACCACCATTTCTCTCATATCATCGCCTGAGAGCTGCACACCAAGCTCCCACATAGTTTTTGACACATCAAAGCCGTGGTTTATTTTGAATTTCGGTATCCGGAATCGACCTACTCTCACTAATTTGTTTGGGGCATGCCGCTCGAGAAATCCGGAGTTTTTGGTAATGACGTCCATCAAGGTGAATAGACCGTCTATTGCATTGGGCAAGATGATGAACATGGAAAATTGTCGACCCCCATCATGGCTGCTTTTATATGGAAGTCTCAAGGTTTTAAAATCTTTGAATGCTTTCACATATCGATACTTATGACTGCTACTCATAAAGGGTGCTTGGACGGATGTTTTGTTCATAAGGTAGAAATCCGTATCTCTAGTACATCTTTTATCAAACTCGTCATCCCAAACTCCTCTGAAATAAATTGCATTTGCAAGAATAAGGATAGTTTCAGGGGAAAATTGACGAATATCAACTGCTCTTTTTATTAGCCCGCATGTTTTCTTCTCAAACCACAAATTCACATCTTTAACCACTTGACTTTCCTGTATACACCCGGGACAACAATGTAACTTTAAAACAAGTAATCAAAGCACTACCAAAAACATAATCAGGTCAACTTACAAGCACGCATGATAAACAGTTCTGGGATTGTTATATAAGCAAGAAGTCAAACAGGCATGATAATAATAAAGTGAATTAAGTGTTAATACTTCTTTTTTTGGATGAAATGTAAATATATATAGAATCATCCAAGAATGTTTATGTACATCATATACAAAAAGCAAAAACTATAAGAAATCCTCATGTAGGATGCCCCTTCCTCTCTACTCGATAACTAACCATATAAGTTAGCTATCCACCACAAAAATCAGCCATCAAGCTATTGACAAAAAAAGGGTGTAAACAGCCCCAAGTTTCAAAAGCCCCTTCCTCAGCTCCCTCATTGTTTTAGGGGATTTCAGCTGTGTTTGTGATCCGGGTGAGAGGTGAGGGTCTGCCCCCCCGGCCTATATCATGAAAGACTTAAATGAACTTGGACTTCAGGCTAATGTCACTGATGCCCCCTCTATTGGGGAATTCTTCACTTGCCATAGAGGGTCCATATGGGCCAAACTGGATAGGGTGTTGATTAACCCTATTTGGAGTGCTCAAAGTGTTACATGTCAAGTTCACTTCTGTGATATGGAGCCTGAGTTTGACCATGTGGCATCATTAGTTAGGATCGGACATGTGAAAAGTATGGGGACAAAACCCTTCAAGTTTTGTAATATGTGGTTAAAGCATGATAAATTCAAGGATATTTTGGAGAATGTTTGGATTAGGAATGTTGTTGGAACATCTCAGTTTAGACTCGCTCGAAAACTAAAACTGTTAAAACAACCGCTTAAACAACTAAACAAATCCCAAGAAGAATTTAGCCATATCTCAGCTAGGGCAAAGGCATCCAAGAGGATCTATCACCTAACCCTAGTATCTCCTTCGGATGACATAAGTGTTAATACTTCAAATACATATATTCGGATGACATAAGTGTTAATACTTCAAATACATATATTCAAATACATATATAGAGACACCACGTACACAAACACACTAAACTTTGTTTATGTAAATTGAAGCAGTTTAATTCTCTCTAAACTTACTCTCTACTCGCAAACACAATAAAAAAAATTACAGGATTGACATAGATTTTGCACCGATTTACTGATGATTTCGTGCCAAATAGCTTGTATCAAATTGTTTTTTGCACGGATTTCGCATATTCCTACCAAAATCCCTACCAATTTTGAGGAATCCCTACAAAAAATCTTTGTCAATCCTGTGTTTTTTGGTAGTGTAATGCAGAGTATCTAACTTATTTGAATTGTTTATATATATGGGTGGTTATAAAAAAAATGTTTTCATAATATATATTTAGTATGTAATCTATGGATGACTGACATTATAAAACATATTACTCCGTATTAAAAAGTTGTTTTCTTTTGTATGAATTGCTCCCTAGTGAAAAACCTCACAACATGAAATAGTTTGAACGTCTGACCTAAATAATTTTGTTATACATTGTTCAAATTCTCATATAAAATTAAATAGGTACGGTAGTATATACGTAGTATAAAACTTCCCCTGATTTGTACTTTTACTTTTTTAGTAAAACAATACTCCGTAAGTCTTTGTTCTCTTAATCTGGATACTCCGTATCATTTTGATATGAAGCAGAATCTGGGCTTGGAAGAAGAGGGGCAGAAGCCCCCGTGGGTTTACCCAAGGCGGGACGGGCTTGAGCCCACCTTCGTGGGCTGGTTGCGGGCTGTTTAATTAATATTTATTATTCCTTTTATTTTGTTTCCTAATTTAATTTGTTTCGTAGTAGGATTTATTTAGGACTTCTATTCTTATTAGAATTAGAGGTTTCCTATTTCTATTTAGTTTCCTAGAATGATTTAATTAGGAGTTCTATTAGAACTAGAGGTTTCCTATTCTATTTTAGTTTCCTAGATTAATTTAATTAGGATTCCTATTCTTATTAGACCTAGAGGGTTATTTATACCCCTTGTATGCTTCATTCTTGATAATCTTGGAATAAAAGTTGGTTTAGCCTTTTGGCTCTGGGCAACAGTATTTATTTATCGTTGATTATCTAGGCAACGGTTCACCCCGTTGATTTTATTTTTCTGCTTCATAACACTTTTTTTCTTAATTTTTTAGATATCAATTTTAGATCAAACTCTAATTTAGTTTTGATATATATATTTATATTTTAATTCATAAATCTGATTTAAATACATGAAACTGCTCATCAAAATAGGCCGGACTAAAACAAAATACGAAGTACGAATTATTTACTACCGGAGTAATATTAGTTCTATTTAGGAATTTAGTTAAAGGAGGATAAAAGTTACCCATAATCCATATATGAGAGTAAAGTAGTAAACCAATACCAAAGTGCAAAAATAGGAATAAATTTTCAAATTCTCAAAATAAAATTAGAAAAGTTTGAGTGGACAAAATTGCCTATTTAAAGTATGAATGAGAGTTGCTGTTGGGAGCCTATCTGCACCTTCCCTGCCTAAGGCCACCACTAAATCTCCAAGTTGGATGAATAAACTAACCCTGAACCCTAAGAAAACTGACAAACCCCAAGTCGAGGGTATTTATGATGCAGTTTTTTTTTATGCAGTTTATTTCATTACGTAGTATTTATCAATATTTAAATGATTCAAATCGGCCCATATACACGAAATACTTAGAATTTGACAAACCCCAAAAACCCTAAACTATATTTTTGTCCACTCCTAGTTTTTTAGTTGTATTTACTGTTCTAAAATCGATATAGTCAGACTGATTAATTGGCCTAGCCAATTCTAAATCCAAAAGACTATTCGACTTATTCAGCCAAAAAAATTGGGCTAATCGGCCTAGTCGGCAGCGTAGGCGTTAGGCGCCCTCGTCAGTTTGATGAGGACTAGTGAACTTTGGAGCAATGATTCTATTCAGCTAGTTTTGTATTTTTATCAATCATTTAGAAAAGTATGGGATTACCAAAATTAAAATACATTAAAATTGGAAAGGGATAAAAAGGGAAGACCTGGTGACGAAAGTCAACCGATTGACAAACTGCCTCATAAGAGTTCTCCAAGAGATGCTTAAAAGGAGGGTTGAAATTAACAGTTTTCTCCACCCAGGCACCGTTAGCCGCCGTGATACAAGGGCCACCGCTGTGACTGGCGTCAGAGAGGATTTTGGTGACGGCGTGGGTGGCAAAAGCGTCAAAATCAGCGGTGGAGTCGGAGTTGAGGAAAGAGAGAAGGCTGTCGCGTGTCTGGCCCTTTGAGCCGGCGGCGACCATACCCATAACGATGTTAACGGAGAGGGGAGAGAGAGCAACGTTGCGATCTCCTGCTTTGACGGCGTTAAGGAATACATGCTTCGTAAGCGTTACGGAAGCATCTGCCTGTTTTGCAATGACTTCGGAGAGCTTTGTCATTTTTAGCCGCGTTGATGAATCTAAGAAGGTGCCCTAAGCTAGGGTTTATAGATAGACTCGACCTATGGTGCTTTTATAGTAAATATGTTTATACGATAGTTTTTATTTGAATTTAAGTGATGTATAAGAAATAGTAGAAATGTTTATGACTCTTTTCCTTTTTTTATTAAAAAAAGTGCTCATTACGTAGCATTAAGTTTCATGCAATGTTTTGACATTTTCTCGTGTTTCTGTTATTCTCATATATAGGACAATTGGAAATATTTATATATTTTACATCTTTAATTTATCAAAGTTATTACATTGTAATTTTATGTTTCTTACACTTTCACTTTTTTTTTATGAGAACGTGTTAAAACTGTCTATCCATTCTTGAACTAATACTATTTTTATATTATTATTATATTATTTTCAAATCTATATTAATTTTTATAAGATTAATCAATTGTTTTTAAATTAACATGGTATAGCAGATTAAAATGACTCGACCTATGGTACTTTTATAGTAAATATGCTTATATGATGTTTTTTATTTGAATTTCAGTGATGTATGAGAAATAGTAGAAATGTTTATGACTCTTCTCCTTTTTTTAAATAAAGTGTTCATTACGTACTATTAAATTTCACGCAATGTTTTGACATTTTCTTGTGTTTTTTTAATTCTCATATATAGGACAATGGGAAATATTTATATATTTTACATCTTTAATTTATCAAAGTTATTACAATAAAATTTTATGTTTCTTATACTTTCACTTTTTTTTATGAGAACGTGTTAAAACTGTCTATCTATTCTTGAACTAATACTATTTTTATATTGTTATTATATTATTTTCAAATCTATATGAATTTTTGTAATATTAATCAGTTGTTTTTAAATTAACATGGTATAACAGATTAAAATGACTCGACCTATGGTGCTTTTATAGTAAATATGCTTATATGATGTTTTTTTATTTGAATTTAAGTGATGTATGAGAAATAGTAGAAATGTTTATGACTCTTCTTCTTTTTTATTAAAAAAGTGTTCATTACGTACCATTAAGTTTCACGCAATGTTTTGACATTTTCTTGTGTTTTTGTTATTCTCATATATAGGACAATTGGTTGAATATTTTTCCCTATATTACATTATGCTCCTGTAACAAAAGGGAAATTATTATACCTTTCTTAGGCGAACCAAAGATGTTTTTACTTGGACTGTAATTTGTCCCAGACCAAACCAGATCAGACCAGACCAGACTTGGATAGTTATTAAATTACAAAGAAACCAGACCAGACCAGACCAGTTCAGACCAGACCAGATCAGACCAGACCAGCAAATTACAGCCCAAGTAAAAACATCCCAATTATAAAAATCATATTTCTAATGGAAAGTATACAATTGAATTAGAGAATTCCATATAGAATTCCATATAAATTAGAAATAATGCTGACATAGACGAAGTCAAGCTTATGGTCACCTCAAACTATTGAGAGCCGATTTGGTAACACTAAAATTGGTTGAATTGACTAATTCAATTAAAATTTATGAAGTTCTGGCTGAAGTGGTTGTATTTGCTGATTTTGCTGTTTAATGAAAAAATTGTATTTAAAATATTTGTTATTAATAAATAAAATAAAAAATTATATGAAAGAATAGTTAAAATGATCTTCTAGAGTAAGTCCAACCAATACAACCAGAATAGTAACTACAACCTTACTTTTTCTGTTTATTACATAATTCAGCACATGAAATCAAAAGTTACGTGTTCAGTGAAAAACTGACTGATAAGCCTGATAAGTCAAAAAAAGGGGTCATCAAACAGACTCTGAATCAAGAATGAAAAAATAGATATTCATGAGAAAACTTGAAACGATTGAAATTTGAATTAATTAAAAGCTGATTGAACCATATGGTAAAAAAAATTGATAATGTGTTTCTCTTTCAAAATTGGCCCGAAAACGCCAGGTCACATAAAATTATAGAATTCAGAATTTAAAAGTCAGTGCCTTTCAAGTCTAATATTCTTAATTAGAGTTTTCTTTGGCGGCGATCTGGTTGCGGCTGAATTCTGGTGACCGGCGGCGAAAGGAGGTGGCGGCAAAGCTCTGACAGCAGTGGCCTAGTGTCAGACCAAACCCCTATATGGGTATTTTTATCTAGACACACATAGTAAAATTTGAATTAAATTTAACTATGAGGATAATTTTTGAAATAAATCTGAAATTACCTTCTAATGAGGAACGTAGTGATGTTTTTTATACGTAGTAATTTTTAAAGGATTCATGGATTTGATTGTATGTTGTCTGGTTATTACGTTATTTATATTTAGGAACTCGTTGATTATGATCAAAATTACGGTAAAGTGCTAATTTATTTAATTATTTTCAGCATTAATTATAGGATTTTCTTGAGCAAAACTTTCCATGTATTACCACTTTATCGGTATTGCATTCATGATCTAAACTTCTAAGGGCATCCCCATTGTTTAGATTATTTAGAGTTTAATTGAATGATGTGTAAAAATATTTTAAAGATTATCATTGTGAGTGAGAGATTATTTAGAGAGATTATTGATAAAAATAATCCGGTATCAAGATTTGAATCCCGGATTATTTTAGATTGTAGTTAAATTTCATTTAATGCATGGTCTAGAAAAACTAATTATTTCAATATCATGGTTGATGGAGAGATTTAAGATTTGAGATTATTTAAAATTTATTTAATAAATATGATGTGTCAATGAAAAACCATTTATTTTAACATCATGAATGGAGATGCTCTAAAGCTGGCTGAAAAATCAACATTGTATTATTGGAAAATTTATTTATGGTAGTACTCCCTCCGTCCCGTTGGGATGTTCCTGCTTTCCTTTTTTGGATGTCCCAAAAAAGAAGTTCTCATTTTCCTAAATCAAAAGTTATCCTACATCAAAACAGTGTCAAACAATGCACAACAGTGTCCAAACAGTGTCAAAACAGTAAAATTTACTCCCTGGTAAGTTTATTTCCTTAATATGTGTGTAGGTCAAACCGGGAACATCCGAACGAGACGGAGGGAGTATTACCATTGTAATATACCATCCGGAGTATATATATTGTAATATACTTCGTATTTAATACCCAAATGCATATGCATGATTTATGAAGTTTGTAAGGAAATATATTAAGGGGGTGTTTGGATCTGACTCGATCTTAAAACTGCTTCTGCTCCTTCAGGGAGCAGAAGCAGAAGCTAGAGTGTTTGGAGAAAGTGAAGAAGTGATTCTGGTACTCAAATTTAAACCTAGAATCAGTTTTTTTAGAAGCTGGGGGTGACCAGTTTCTGAGAACTGATTCTGATTCTGCTTCTTCTTTAAAAAAGAAGCAGTAGCAGAATCAATTCCAAACACCCCTAATTGCCATTCGTATACTCTGATTTAGTGATATGCATTAACTTCCCAATATATATAGAAGGTAATTAATAAGTTATTGATTATCTTATTGCCGCCCAATTCCATGGTCAATTTTGATGCAAATTAATTTCAATTATGCCCTTTAAATGGGCGGGAATTTTACCTCCAAAAAATTGTAGCAACTTTACTACTTTATATTATATAAGATAAGATAAGATAAGATGCGCAATCTATTATGTAGTATCCAAAAAATTACTCCGTCTGCGTGCAAATAAAACTTTTGAAGTGTTGATGTAAATAAATATTTTTTTTCAAAAAACTGTTTACACACTTTGATGAGAAAACAAAATTGTTTACACACTTAAAATTGGATTAAAAGTGTTGTATATAACTATATACTAGTATCTTTACCCGTGCCGTGCACGGGATAAATGATTTTAGAGGCGTAATCAGGATCGAAGCTTGGAGTAAACCGATATAAGGAATTTTTTCAGATAAGTTTTAGACAAAAAAAGTTACACTAAAAGTACATCGAACTTGAAATTTTAGGGGTGGCCCGGTTGCCCCCTATCTTCGCCCTTGAATGATTCTGTTTTAGTATTACTATATATGTGTGCGCGCACGCACTGATGTATAAGAAAATACTTCAAAATATATAATTTTGTTACATCTAATTTTAATGAAGGTGGCAGCGGCGACAACAGGCCGGTTGCATAACGCGATTAATAGCGGTCGATTTATTTTTCGTTAGATTGATTTAAAATAAGTGTTATTGAACAAAAAAATGTTGCATGGTTTAGATTTTCGACCAATAAGCAATATTTACCTAGAAGACCAACTGAATTAAGTCTATAAAAAGAATCTACATCAAATGGTAGGTAACAACTGAACTATAAATGACGTGCACTTTGTCGTGTATGCACTTAAAATAATAATCAATACAACACTAATACGTAGTATAGTGAAGTAAGGTTCGTATCCACAGAGAAAAGAATACTTTGCTTTTTAATTAAATAGTAACAGGGGGGGATTTTTATATTTGGTTGATGAACTTAAATTATATTTAAACACAAAGATGAACGACTTATGTGGTTTAATTAATGAGAAGAAGACTTGGTTTTGCTTTTATCCACTTAATGAAATGTTCGTCGATCCCGGTTATATCTTTAATTATCTTCCTCTCGAATACTCAATCGAGGAGTATATCCAGTTCATCGAGGGTAGTTATTAATAACGAGATGCGTTCATTAATAAAACTTACTATCGAGTCAATATAGAACAAGCGCCGTATATTAACTTGATAGTAGCAATAAACTTAAGATGAAAACGACTGAGATTGATAACCTCAACACAAGCGGTTTATTGTTTTAATCAATATAATTAATTCCCCTTGGCTTATTAACCATGGGAAGCATGCATTAACAATCCAAGTTTACTACCATTGAAAGAACCGAATTAATAACAAGCGTATTAACCGATTGATTCTAGTAATAATTAATATATGAAACAAAATTAGTTGATCCTTTAAGTAATGTTCAAAATATTAATATGGAATATGAATAGGAATTAATTAATACTCAAGAAAGAATATTAAAGAAAATGAATCCTACTATAGTTAATATCAAGATGTTAACTAATTGTCATCTTAGTAACACTCCCCA